TCACAGGTTGGACAAAGAGCTTCTGCGCTACGCGAGTGCGGTTGATCAAACTGGAATCTCATCTCAGCGCCGAGGCTCAGGACTAATCTTGTTCTGCCATTCGCCAAGATCATCGCGCCCTGAGCGCTGATGATGTTTCTCGGGGTGGGGTTTTGAATACGCGGTACCGCATATTTCTCTTGGTCGTTACCGAGCGTTACCGGCATACCCCAGCAAGGAATGATACGCTCGGCAAAACGTGATCTTTTCCAATTTGAAGTTTTATTCCAAATCTGTTTGATAGCGGGGCATTACTTTGGCTTTGGGGAGAGAAATTCTCGTGGGATTGCCTCATCCTTTTTCTTCCCCCCCCCCCCCCCCCCCTCTCCTCACAGTGCCGATGCTGCTGTCCCTCCCTGTCCAACGTACAGCGCACTCCGAAGGACAGGATTGTACAGCAAACCGCAAAAGTACCACTGTACTGCGTATGGGTCTTACGAGAACGTTCAGAGGGGTAATATCTCCCTAATAAGCTTCCCTCATCAGGGGTCCTGAATTTGCTCCCGAGGAGCCGGTAAGGTCTGGGCGAGGCACTTGCGCTTCAGACTACTGAAAAATAACTCGGAGCAGCGGAACAAGGGCCAGAGTCAATGATTATTTATTGATTTGATCGGTCAAGCCTCATTTGATTACACCCTTACGAAGCACAACGCGTATGTCTCTCTCCGCTGCGCTGTAACAATGGTAATTTAAAGATCACGCTGGATTCGTGGAATGTTTGTCACTATTGGAGATATCTTTGGTCCTCTGCTCCATACCCCAGTGTGGATGTGCGTCGGTATCGTTGTGGCCATTGTGGGTGCTGTTGGCGCAAATGGAGTCGGCAATGGCGCCGGCCGTTTCTCGCTTTTTTCATGGAGGAGAGGGTATTCCCAGTGGTGTAAGTTACCGATAGAGCCGGCAATTTTTTTCTGTGGCTTTCCCTTTTGGGAATACGGCAGGCCAGGAATCCCGGGGTAATGTCACGTCATGTATGTAATGTTCCGTACATACACGCTGCCCCGCGCCGACCTGTTGCAAGTTGCCTCCTTTAAATCACCGCCGTCCTCCCTTGTTCCATTCTCCTTTTTCTACGATCTGACCGTTTCCCTTCCGCTTCACTCTCCAAACTCCCACTCTCCACTCTCTTGCGACGAACCTACCTTCGACCCATTTCTTGCATACAAGTTTGCGCAATTTCATACCCCGCATTCCTGAATTCTACCATAGGGTATCCGCCAATATACTTGTATACACCAACTCGGAATTTCGATTGTGTTTGTCAGAGAGATTTGGTGCGATGTCTGACGGTCCAGTCACGCCTCCCAAGGCGCCAGTAGTAAGTGATTCCTCTTGCGTCAATGGCCCGGCCAAATGCTGGTGCTCGGCCAGGGGAAGTTGGGGAAGTCCTAATTGTCCCCTACGCAGGTTGTTGAAGCCCACGAGGTGGACACTTTTCACGTGCCCAAGGCTTTCGTTGAGAAGCATACTACAAGAACCCATATAGCAAACCTGGATGAGTATCAGAAGCTCTATGAAGAATCCATCCGTGATCCCGATACCTTTTGGTCACGGCTGGCCCGTGAACTCATCACATTCGAAAAGGATTTCGACACCACCCGCTACGGGTCTTTTGCTGGAGGAGACGTTGCGTGGTTCCTTGGTGGACGTTTGAACGCATCGTACAACTGCGTCGATCGTCATGCTCTGAAGGATCCAAATAAGGTGGCTGTAATCTACGAGGCTGATGAACCCAATGAAGGCCGCACTATTACATATGGCGAGCTTCTGAAGGAGGTTTCTCGCCTGGCCTGGGTGCTGAAGCAGGCCGGTGTCCGGAAGGGGGATACCGTGGCTATTTACCTGCCAATGATCCCCGAAGCTATAATTGCGTTCCTGGCATGCGTTCGTATTGGTGCAGTCCACTCTGTCGTTTTCGCTGGGTTTTCATCAGATTCCCTCCGCGACCGCGTCTTGGATGCCAAGTCAAGAATCGTCATTACCACGGACGAGGGGAAACGAGGTGGAAAATTAATCGGAACCAAGAAAATTGTTGATGAAGCCCTTAGACAATGCCCTGACGTCACGAATTGCATTGTTTACAAGAGGACAGGCGCTGATGTGCCATGGACAAAGGGCAGAGATTTGTGGTGGCATGAAGAGGTTGAGAAGTATCCCAACTACATTGCTCCTGAGTCAATGGACTCTGAGGATCCTCTCTTCCTACTGTACACATCCGGGTCGACTGGAAAGCCAAAGGGTCTGATGCACACGACAGCCGGTTATTTGGTCGGTGCAGCCGCTACTGGCAAATATGTGTTTGATATTCACGACTCGGACCGCTTCTTCTGTGGCGGTGATGTTGGTTGGATTACCGGACACACCTATGTCGTGTATGCTCCTCTGCTTCTTGGATGTGCAACTGTGGTTTTCGAGAGCACACCGGCCTATCCTAACTTCTCCCGTTACTGGGATGTTATTGATAAACACGAAGTGACCCAGTTCTATGTTGCGCCAACAGCTTTAAGGCTTCTGAAGCGTGCTGGAAATGACTACATCCACCACAAGCTCAAGAGCCTTCGTATTTTGGGATCTGTTGGCGAGCCAATTGCAGCGGAGGTGTGGAAATGGTATTTCGAGATCGTTGGGAAGGAGGAATGCCATCTTGTTGACGTAAGCTTTGACAACCTGCTGTGGAAGAGTATTCCTGGTCTTGATTAGCCAACCTATTCTGACAATATGCAAAACAGACCTACTGGCAAACTGAGACTGGTTCTCACGTTATCACCCCTTTGGGCGGCATTACACCAACAAAGCCCGGCAGTGCTTCGCTTCCCTTCTTCGGCATTGAGCCTGCCATCATTGACCCGGTATCTGGAGAGGAGATCAAAGGCAATGACGTTGAAGGCGTTCTAGCGATTAAACAACCATGGCCAAGCATGGCGCGCACAGTCTGGGGTGCCCACAAGAGATATATGGACACTTATTTCAACATCTACAAAGACTTTTACGTAAGTCATAGAAAAGTGACGACTCTCTGCGGTAATAACAGTCGCTGATGATTCTTTTAGTTTACTGGCGATGGTGCTGGACGTGACCATGACGGATACTACTGGATCCGAGGTCGTGTTGACGACGTTGTCAACGTTTCCGGCCACCGTCTGTCAACTGCAGAAATTGAAGCTGCTCTTATTGAACACTGTAAGCCCCATTTTGGAACTATAGCACGAAGGAATGGTGTTATAGAGCAAGAAACAAGCATACTGACAAAACGATCCCTCCGTAACACAGCTGCTGTGGCTGAAGCCGCTGTCGTTGGTATTGCCGACGAACTCACCGGACAGGCGGTCAATGCGTTTGTCGCCTTGAAGACCACGAGTGACAATATCGAACAACTCCGCAAGGATCTCATCATGCAGGTTCGCAAGTCAATTGGGCCGTTTGCCGCTCCCAAGGCTGTATTCATCGTCGATGACCTGCCCAAGACTCGCAGTGGTAAAATCATGCGAAGAATCTTGAGAAAGATTCTTAGCGGCGAGGAGGATAGCTTGGGTGATATCTCGACTGTAAGTCCGGTTTTCCCGCTCTCTGGTTGTTATTTTATTTTATTTTTTTGTCATCGTGTGACGGATAGAGGTTCTAATCGATGATTGCGGTACATTAAATAGCTCTCTGATCCGAGTGTTGTTGCGAAAATCATCGAAGTTTACCACGCTTCAAAGAAGTAGGATATGTTTTATCTCCGAAATAAAATCGAAAGATAACACTTGACACGCCATAAACGATCTGTATGATGGGGAACCAGGTATTGGGGGGGATATTTCATTTTTTAGGATGAAATTTACTTCAAAGAGAGGAACAAAAATGCCTCAAAAACAAAAACAACTAAAAAAAGGGCATTTTAAGTATTATATACCTTCTTTCCCCGTTTTTGTTGTGCCATAAATTTCCTCGCTATTGTTGCTTTTTGTATTGCCTTTTCGTGCGAACAGCCTAAATTGTGTCCCGCCACCAATTCCCTTCCCCTCTTTCTTTTACATTGTTATGATTTTTTAGTATTATTAGATATGTATGGCTATGTAGTTAGTAAACCACGGGTATGATTTTCAACTCAATAACGGGTCGATGTCGCTTGGACTGTTACAAGAATTTTGTCTTTCCCCTTTAGCCGCGTGATCCCATGTTTTATTATTCATTATTGCTCACCAATAGATTGATAGAAAAATATGCTGGCGCTCAAGCGTTATCGGCGAGTGATTGGAGAAACTTGTCCAAGCATTGTCTCCTTGCCACCTCATCATCGTCTAGGCCTCCAAGGCAGAGATGGGTGAATGTTGCCTGGCGGAGACAGACAGAGACGAAGAGCCTCCTTTACCTGGGTGGGCATAGCAGCGTCACCTGACCTCGGTCCCTCCTTTCCCCAAACAGCCAGCTAAGCGAGCGTTCTTGGCTATCGCTGCAAACTTCGCGGTGTTTGACTTCACCCAACGCCTTCCTATCCTCAACCTCAGCTTCACTTCCACCTCCACCTCCACCTTCACCTTCAGCTTCCCCTTCACCCTTCACCAACCCCTCCAGCCTCCGCCGTTTTTCTTCCCCAGTTGTGGCAGGCTCAGATTCCCCCTTAACTTCGACCTTCATTATCTTTTTGAACCGCAGTTCCTACTTGATTTTCATTTCCTTTTCATCACCTTGTTCATCTTTGTTAGCTAGTCTCCTTAAAACATTTGAATTTTTAACCCTTACTCTTCGCATCTAAGCTTCGTCGTCTTTGTTTTTCTGAAAGTCACGAACTGCAATTTCACTTTCGGGACCACCACTAACGACCATTAATATCTCTACTGTCGCTTATCGGTTTCAACCCGTTTCAACCTTTTATGGATCGCGCTTGTTGACGTGTCAGAAAAACTGTTGTTTTTTGTATCTTCCTTGAAAGGAAGATTCCGCAGTTAGTGGCAGACGCCTACAGTCGCTGTCTCATCATGGCTTTCAACACAGGCTCCTCCTTCGGGGGGTTTGGCACGGGGAATCAACAGCAGGGAACTGGATTCGGATCCGGAACAGGATTCGGAAGCCCTTCAACCGGAACTGGTAGGTTCATCCCTTTCATTCTCTCTCCATTTTGTTTGCGCTGTTTCACCTCCACCTCCCCTTGCCTTTGCGATGCGTGATTTTGGATACGGAACCTCTCCCCACGGCAAACTTTTGTCGTGAACTTCTCCGGGTCTCCTTAATCTCCATCTCCTCTACAGCGATGAACCCCCGGACGCCAGTGGAAAGCCATGGAAAGGAAGAGGGCACGAAATGAAAAAGAAGAAATAAAATTAAAAGGCCAGATGTCCGTCTGACGCGATTTTACCAATCGTCTAGGCTTCGGAACAACTTCGTCTCCATTCGGCGGCACAGGAAGTACAGGCAGCGCCTTTGGAAGCACTTCTGGTGGCTTCGGTTCAGGAGGAGGTACGTCGCTACCGGTCAACTCGATACTCGATGTAGAGTTTTGATGTTTCTTGAGCTCTGTCGTTTGCATAGCCTGCGTTCTTGGGCTTTTTGTTTTCGCGTCCATGCCAAGAATTAGCGTGCCAAAAAATATATATTATTTCGCATTGTCCATTTTGTTACCTGTGTGGATGACTATCCTTGGGGCCCATCCGGGATTTACCAATGTTTCATTCTTTGAAATATCCGGCACCATATCGGCTTGGACTCATTCTTTCTTTTTGAGGATGAGGCCCATGCCCATTTGAAACTGCTGTTCCCGAGGATAACCGTTTATTCCTCTACATAAATAACATATTGATATATATTTTGGGCTTGGAGTTTTATATGCTTGATATTTCTATTCCAATATAAAAGCTGAGCTAACCTTCGCTACTTTTTTTCCGTCAGGATTCGGTTCCACCACTACGCAGTCAAATCCTATATTCGGATCGCAAAATAAAGGATTTGGTGCAGGCTCAACATCCACTGGTGGCAATATCTTTGGGTCGACCAGCACACCCAGTATGACGTTCGGCACTCCAGGCTTTGGAGGTGGAGGAACAGGGTTTGGCGGCACTGGCACTGGCACCACCGGGACCGGTGTGTTTGGCAGTACTCAACAACAGCCACAGCAAACTGGTTTTGGAAGCGCTGGTCAAGGAAGTTCTATGTTTGGTGGAGCTTCAAACGGGGGAACTGCATTTGGGGCAGCATCTGGCTCTGGGTTTGGCGCCAGCGGTACCGCCCTGGGTGGAGCTGTTCCTCCCGCGGAGGGCACGGCAAATCCTCCATTCAGCGCGTACACAGAAAAGGACCAGGGCTCCAGCGTAACAAATCATTACCAAACCATAAGCGCGATGGCGCCGTATTCTAAGTACTCCTTTGAGGTCTGTTCCTTTTTCCGTTTCGTGCTTGCTACTTCCAGTTGCTAACCAGGAAATAGGAACTTCGAGTTGCCGATTACCAACACGGGCGAAAATATGGAACTACCACCGGCCAGACGGGATTTGGATCCGCTGCATTTGGGGCGTTCGGACAACAGCAGCCAAGTACCGGGGGTTTTGGTGTCTCCACAACAACTACCCCTTTTGGAGCAGCCACAAGTGCTCCCACTGGATTCGGACAGACCCAAACAACTGGTTTTGGCACCGGTACATCCAATGTATTCGGTGCTTCCAAACCAGCCGCTTCTATATTCGGCTCCACCACCGCATCGCAGCCTAGCAGCGGATTTGGAACCACAGCAACAACCGGAGGTTTTGGCTCAAACAATCTGAGTGGTATGACCCTTTTCGGAAGTGGCAACCAACAAAATAGACCCGCCTTCGGCAGCACAGGAGGTGCATTTGGCGGATTTGGACAACAAGGTACAACGACTACTACCTCTTCACCATTTGGCGGTACAACAACCACCGCCCCGGCCTTTGGACAGCAACAAGGTCAACAGCAGGCGACCGGCACCGGCTTCGGATTCGGACAAACTCAAGCTCAAGCTACAAGTAAACCGTTGTTCGGAGGGTTTGGAGGTACTACCACCCAACAACAACCAAACACGAATCCGTTTGGCGGTGGAGCTACTGGCACTTCCAACCTATTCGGTGGCCAGAATGCGCAACAACAACAACCTCAACAAGGCACATCCCTTTTCGGAAATACGTCCAACCAACAAACTGGCACGACAACTCTTTTTGGAGGCGGTAATCAACAGCAACAACAAGAACAGAAGCCAAGCGTTTTTGGTAATTTAGGCACTGGACAGACTACCACTGGAACCACCGGTTTTACAGACTTCGGAACCCAAAACGCACAACAGCAGGCTGGCACAAGTCTATTTGGAAACCAAGGCCAACAACAACAGAAACCAGGCTTCTTCGGAAGCTCTACACAACAGAATGCTTTTGGACAAACCAGCACTGCTGCGGGTGGCGGCACCAGCTTGTTTAACTTGGGAGGTGCGAACCAGCCTCAGCAGCAGCAGCAACAACAACCTGCTGGAGGATTCGGAAGCAGTTTGCTAAACCAGTCGCAACAACCTCAACAACAACAGACTACGGGCTTGCAGGCTTCACTTCTTGACGGAAATCCATACGGTAGTCAGTCAATATTTTCTGGTCTGCCACCGCCAAATGCCCCATCTCCAGGCCCATTGGCTACTCCGTTGTCTGCTGCCATCCGTCAAAAGCAACGAACGCCTTTGCCAGTTTACAAAATTTCACCTAGCGCCGCTAATCGTCTCATCACCCCCCCAACCCGTCAAGGTTATGGGTTTTCTTACTCCACCTACGGCACGCCATCTAGCAGTTCTAGCACTCCTAGCGCTTTGAGCAGCAGCCTCCTTGGTGGAAGTTTGCGTGGCGGTAGCCTTGGACGTAGCTTCAACAAAAGCATGTCAACTAGTAATCTTCGCAGGACCTTTGATGGTGATGCAGATAGCATACTGTCTCCCGGTGCATTTTCTGCTGGCACCTCGCGATACTCGAATTCAAATCTCAAACGGCTTACGATTGATCGTAGTCTTCGAACTGACTTATTCTCACGTTCCACCCACTCGTCTTCTCTTGCGAACGGCGATGATCAAGGATCAAGCAAGCTCAAGAAGAAAGTTAGCTTTGATTCTCAAACTACTGGTGGGGATTCAGGGACTGAGACTGATGGTGCTGTTGTCCGTGTTGAGACCGAGAGCCCTGAGCCAACTGCAGAAGAATTAGGCTTTTTGCGTTCGTCTCGAAAGCAATCAGCTGAAGTGAATGGGACAAACGGGCTTGGCAAGGAAGTGAATGGCGTTAACGGAGTGGCCAGTAATGTACCTGAAATGGAGCAGGTTCGAGGCAATGAGCTTGCTGTTGTCCCCGAGGGCCATGAGCAGGATGGCGGAGCTGTGTTCCCCCCTGGTAAAATTCTTGTCAAGGTTCCCGAAGGAGATCCTAAGCCCGGGGAATACTGGATGAAGCCTACTCGTTCTGAACTCAGCAAATTACCCCGTCAGCAGCAGAAACACTTTGTTGGCTTCACTGTCGGTCGTGTTGGTTGTGGCTCTGTCACTTTTGACGACCCTGTGGATCTTACCACTGTTGATCTTGACTCGCTGTTTGATAAGTTTATCAAAATTGGCACCCGGTCGATTACGGTCTACCCTGATGATGTTACCAAGCCACCTCGAGGCAAAGGCCTAAATGTACCTTCCACCCTACGAATTGAAAATTCCTGGCCTAGAGGTAGGGATAAGAAAGCTCCGTCTCCCATGACGAGTGGACCAGCCTTCGACAGACACGTTGAACGGTTAAGAAGAGTTACCAATACGGAATTTATCGACTACGAGAAGCTCACTGGGACTTGGGTGTTTAAAGTGCCCCACTTCACGACTTATGGCCTTGATTATGAAGACGATGATGATGAAGGTGAGAACTTTGATCAAAGCACTTTGAGTGCACCTCCTCCTGACACTCCTACTCCAAAGGCCCAAACCCAAACCCCCACACAGTCGTCCTTCGCGAATTCTGAGTTGAATTCTACGGTCTCTTTCGATGAGTCTTTCATGGGTGACTCCACAGTAGGAATGGAGGATGACACGTTTGAGTTTAAGAAGCGGAAGCTTGTTCCGGGAGCATTTTTGGGCCAGGGTGGGAACGATGGAGAAATTGAGGACCAGACGATGGAGACGGATGAAGAGGAACAAGAACAAGGATCCTTTTTAAGTGACGACCAATCCCTCGACTCCCATCCTGAAACCCGTTCCGAAACCGATAGTCTCGAGCAAACCGATAGCCAAGACGTCACGGAATCGGAAGGCGAATCAGAAAAAGACAAGGAAATGGAAGTGACGATGGTTGGCTCCTTTCCTGCTCCTGATAACTCAATTGAGCAGACTATTCGCAGCAGTCCCTTGAAGCCTACTGCTATTTTCCAGCGGCCGGACCAGCAGCACGGAACTCCCTCTCAGACACACCTTAACCTGCACGGAAACTGGGCAGAACAGTTGCAGCGAACCATTAGCCCTAGAAAGCAAAATCGGCAGGCACTTCGTGAGATTCAAGGAAACGTGTTTGCAGACATAAATAATGAACAAAGCGATGGTACCCCGAGTAAATCTGCTGAACCCGCTCAGGAACCTGTTGGCTTCGCGACGAGCATAGATCTTATGAATTCGCTATTTCCACAGGCAGAGAGTGGTGGTAGACAAGGAAAATCGCATGGCAAAGCTGCAAAGGCTCAGGGTTTCCAGGTTTGAACTCCCTTCTGTTCCGATGTTTTTTTTTTTTTTTTGTTTTTTTTTCAATGCGTTCTGATCTTACGATTTTTCCTCCTGCTTTCTTGCTTTTGGTTTCATTCTCCCTTTGACTTAGCGACCAAATTTGTATTTATATATATCTCTCCCTTGATTTTGGATAAAGTCTTTTGTCTTGTTCTTCCTCATACCTAGGTAGCAATCGAATTGAAAAAATTGATATGCTGAATCTTCTTGTTTCTAGTGGCCTTATCGAAAACAATCCAAAACTGTTGGCGGAAACACGAAGGATATGTCTGAAGACGATATTTTGTTTCATAATTCGTTCAAGCCCAAATTTGGCTGTACGGACAACCTCATTTGCCCGAGAATTCCTGGCTCTATCAATCGATCTGAGGCGCCGTGGAACCAGGCAGGCGCACTTTCTTCTGAAGGAAGAACCATTGTTCTCCATAAATATGACCAACCAGCTCTAGTAAGCGATGGCACACCGACTGTGTTTGGTGATATACCCCTGCTGATGTGTAATGCTTTTAGCCCCCAAATACGTTAAACGAAGAGAGAACACGAACCAACATCCGCGTTATTGATAACGTACCATTTGCCCGATTGTCTAAGGTTAATTTTTCGGTGTTGGCCGATACCGTCGGCGATAACTCTCGGGCAGCCGATTTGGAGAGACAGGTTTGGCAATTGGCCAATATTCTTTTCAACGACGATATTGAGGACGACATATCGGCGGGGGTTCCCCAAAATCTGCGCCATAAATATGTCCATCGTATCAAAAAGGATAGACTTAGTCGGCTCTGGCAATCCATTATACGTGATCGACATTCCAAAGAAGTTTCCGACATCCAGTCTCCTGAGGAGCGTGCAATCGCTTTTCTCTCCTCCCATCGCATTGACGAAGCTTGCAAAGCCCTCGTGGAAAGTAGAAATTTTCATTTAGGGACCCTGGTGCCACAAATTGGTCGCAATAACACAGTGCGCAACGCTATGCGAGAGCAAATCGAATCGTGGCGTAAACATAATGTTTATTCTGAAATGACTGAGCCTATTCGAGCTCTTTACGAGTTGCTTGCTGGAAATTGTTTGCGGAGTGATGGAAAGCCTGGTGGCGTCCTTGAAGATAGAGCGTCCACTTTTTATTTATCTGAGCGCTTCGAGCTTGACTGGATCCAGGCATTTGCGCTTCGACTCTGGTATGGTATTGACGAAGAGGACTCCATCGAGAAGGCAGTGGAACTCTTCCACCACGATATTACCCATGGAAATGAGCCAGCTTACCCTTTTTCGGAAGAATCCCGAGATTGTAATCGTGATGACCCTCTGGAATCTCCACTTTGGGTTATGCTGAAATCATTCACAACGGCGATGGGCCGACAGGAAAACTGCAAAATTCCACCAATCCCACTGCCTGAAGCAATTTTGCCGGACGCTGTTTCTGGAAACCCCCTGCACAATCGATTCTCATTTCAGTTATTCCACCATTTACAAACGTTGATGGGACATCTCGATGCGGCAGTTATCAATGAAGCCCGAGCTGATCAGCTAACATGGGATTATGCCTGGGAACTCGCAGCGCTCGAGCAATTCCCATCAGCCATATTCGTCCTAGAACACCTCTTAAACTCCTCTCAGCGAGAACGTAGTATTAAAGAGCTTCTTTCCCGCTTCGCCGCATGGCTTCCTGCCCGCACTTTCAACGATGGAACCCCAAATCCCCTGTGGGGCTATATCGTGGATGACCTCCAAGTACCCAGCAGCTGGATCTGGGCGGCAAAAGCGCTGTACGCACGTGCCCAATGCGACCCGTCGAACGAGGTGCAGTTCCTCATCAATGCGAAACACTGGAACGAAGCGCATGAGACATTCCGAAGACTCGTCGGGCCCAGGACGGTTATCGAACGCGACTATGTGACTCTTGAGACGTTGATTTCTGGATTTGGCGAGTCTCCTGAGCGCAAAGTGCGTGGCTGGGACGCTGGTGGAGCTATCTATGATGACTTCCTGCATCTGATTACGGCCAAGGGTCCACGGCGCGAGTCGGCGCGGTTAAAGAGGTTGGTTTCTGCTTTGGCGACTTTGGGCCAGAGAATGGATAGTGAGAAAGATAAGGGTAGGGATGGCGATAAGGAGGATCCGTCGTCGGTTTCTGCTAGTTTGGAGGAAACGGTCGCGTTTAGGGAAATTAGTCATGTTGTTGCTGGGTGGTGTGCGAAGGATACTAGAAGTGTGAGTTTTCTTTATTTAGTCTCCGTTTTATTTTTACGACAACGTGGGTGAGGGCTAGGAGAATGGTATACTAACTAGATATTTCCTTTGTTTAATTTAGACTATCGAGCCCGCAGCTATTCTTAATTTGTTGCTGACGCAGGATACTCGACTCTTGCACACGGCCGAAATGAGCAGGCGGTACTACAATATTATCATGGCCACAGCCCATTAAGTGGTCTCTCTATTGCTGATAGGAGATGACAGCGAATGTTGATGAGAACGGACTAACGGGAGACAAAAGTTGACGAGGAACAACGATATCAGCAAACGGCTCTGGAAGCCTAAAGAGAATAATAAAACGCCTTATGCCCTGGCGTACTTCCATGAGTGATTGCCATTGGTATGAATGGAAATAGAGTGCGCGAGTGTTTGGGTCTTGTTGGTGAGCAAGGATATTTTGATGGACTGATGGATATTTCTATTTTGTTTTTCCTTTCTCTTGTGTATTATTCTACGGAAGAGTGTATGCTTGTTGGTGATGTTTTACATGGTTTTTTTGATTGTATTAGCTAAATAGTTCTATAATTAGTTTTGTTTAAAGACCTTTAGAAATGATTGGTTTATTATAAAAGGAACGAAAAATAAAAAGTGAGTTTCATATTCTTTTTCGTGGTCTTGAACTCCGCTTGGATATATCCATGCCTCCTTATTTTATTACTGTGTCCCACCACCCTGAAGTCTCAGTCACAACATCCATCCTTTATGAGCTCCGTCCATGTATGTAACTAACTAACTAGTGTACAAGTTTTACTCAGCAGTGACAATAGTTATAATCATGCTACCTAGGAGTAGTTTTCCCATTCAACCCCCCTTTAAAATTTGGTAGGCTGATATCAACCTCTATTTCCCAGGCCGATAGACCGAAGAAAGTGATGTCCTACCAGAAGAGAATGGTGAGATTATTTTTAACTATGAGAATATTTTTGTTTCCTTTAGCATACCGTACAAAAAAAAAGGGTAAGAGGAAGGTGAGAATAGGAACCTAAATACGCATATAACGAGCAGAAGGAACGGGGAAATAAATGTACAGTACAGCAACATAAATTAAGGGAAAATATCTAGCCAAAGTGTGTGGGAGAGGGAACATTTCTCTTCAGCCATATGGCAAACAGAATATTCCTCTCCATATCGAGCGGTACGGAGGTGGTGGGTGATAATGTGGTTTAATGGGGAACAAGAAGACTCTCCCATTACCACTTTTCTCGTCTACGGGAGTGCTTTAAACTAAACCTAAGCAGGCAGCCAGCCCCTCCAGCAAATCCATTCTATCATATGTAAATTATTGGCCAGGAGCGATAAGCTTTCCCTCCATACGCGCCTGTGGGTCCCAACCCCCAGCAAATGCCTGCTTACCACCGTGATCCTGTTCATATTTGCGTATTCTAGCCTCGAGCTCTGGTCTGAAATGCCGGATCAGGCCCTGGATGGGCCACGCAAAAGCCTCTCCGAGAGCGCAGATGGTGTGTCCCTCAACTTGCTTGGTGAGTTCCTGAAGCATGTCGATCTCCCGTTCGCGGGCCTGACCGCGTTCGAAGCGCTGCATCATCTGCATAGTCCATTTGCTTCCTTCGCGGCATGGTGTGCATTGGCCGCAGCTTTCGTGTTTGTAGAACGCGGACAGGCGTGAGATGGCGGCTACTACATCGGTAGATTTGTCCATGACGATCACGGCTGCCGTTCCAAGACCGGATTGCGCATCCTTGAGAGCGTCAAAATCCATCAGTTGGTCGTCGCAGATGTGCTTTGGGAGAATCGGAGTTGATGAGCCGCCTGGGATAACAGCCAGTAGATTATCCCAGCCGCCTCGCACACCACCGCAGTGGCGTTCAATAAGTTCGCGAAGTGGAATAGACATTTCCTCCTCAACTGTGCATGGGTTGTTGACGTGACCGGAGATGCAGAATAGTTTGGTTCCCTGATTTCGCTCACGCCCGAATGAGGCGAACCATTTACCTCCACGACGGCAGATGGTTGGTGCCACAGCGACGGTTTCGACGTTAGTGACTGTGCTGGGACAGCCGAAGAGACCGACGGCAGCCGGGAACGGAGGCTTCAAGCGGGGCTTTCCAGCTTTTCCTTCAAGGGATTCGATCAAAGAAGTTTCCTCGCCGCAGATATAAGCGCCCATTCCCCTGTGAAGGTAAACGTCGAAATCATAACCGGATCCGCAGGCGTTTTTACCGATCAAGCCAGCTTGGTAAGCTTCCTGGATGGCGCGCTGTAGAACTGTGGCCTCGTGGTAGAATTCGCCACGGATATAGATGTAGGCGGCCGTAGCATTCATCGCACGTCCTGCCACAAGACAGCCCTCGATAAGCTTATGGGGATCCTTTCGCATGATTTCTCGGTCTTTGCAAGTTCCCGGTTCGCCTTCGTCAGCGTTCACAACGAGGTATCTTGGTTTATTATCTTTATCCCAGTCCTTGAAGTTCATGAAGGACTATAAATATGGGCAATTGAAACGTGTGATTGCGTCAGTATAACCAACCCCATAAATGCCGATTTCTTATAGCACTGCGTTTCCGCAAATCATAGCGATTCAAGGTTGACGTACCCATTTCAAACCAGAAGGGAAACCAGCACCACCTCTGCCTCTTAGCCCGGATGCCTTAATCTCCGAAATAATCTGAAAATCATCAGTTCGCAATTTTATGAAAGCGCCCGAACCGCTCCGGCTCTAAACTCCGGGAACAGTCCATACCCAGTCATGTCCTTTCAATACAATGTCCTTTGTCCTGTACCAATCGCCGTACTTCATCGCGGTTTTCAAATCTGCGCCATGATGTCCGTACAGATTCTGGAATATGCGGTCCTGGTCTTTCAAGCCACCATATGTCCGTGGAGGCGATGCAGCCGCATCTTGGACAGTAGCAAGGCCTCGTTGTTGCTGCTGCTGTCGTCGAGGTTCTCGAGCCGCATGGGATGAAACGGTTGATGCTGTGTGCAATGTGCGGGGGGTGATGTGGGAGAAGGAGTGCGTGGATGGAGCAACCGCCCGAGAGATCATGATGCCTCCTTGCGCTCACCAATTGAGCGGATACCAATGAAGGGGAGATTGGAGGGAGTAGGAATTGAAAGGATCGAAACAAGAGTTCGGATGTTACTTTGCGGCGGATGTGATTGGTGCGGTTTGGTCACGTGGATTTCGCTTAGTCACAGCCAGCTCAAATGGCAAGGGCAAGCTGGCATATGTTACTGTCGGGTTTAATTACTATATACATTGATCAGACGCTGTCATCGATATATATTTGGACTGGAATCTCAGTGCGAAGTCGCTGATAGGAACATTAGATCTAGGCCCTCGAGATGACTTTGAAAATAAAAGAAAGAAAAAAGGATCAAGGGACGGGAGCCAAAACTGGCCAGGGCAACACGGGAGGGGTGGGACAGTAAAATATGCACAATGGGAAAAGAATGTGGAAGCTATATACAATATATGTTGTACAATGTCGATACTGAAGACCATTTATCCAGATTAATAGAAAGGGGGAGGACCGGAATCCACTTTCTTTTGGGTGTATAATGCGAGGATCAGGTAAGAGGTAACAGCGAAGGGATACAATGGTAAAGCCAATGTTTGGAGGACATCTGGAGGATGGGGGGAAAAAAAGGGCCTTTAGACAACACGGACCATAAGGGAAAGAGTGAACAGATTAAACAGAAGAAAAAACAAAGTGCGCAATGCATCGAACATAGAAGATAATCATATACCAAAAGGAATTCGGTCATTATTTCCTTCCTGGCACTAAAATCTCTACAAGGCCATCATCCTCTTCGCCATCGCTGCTGTCATTTCGATCTTTCGAGTCAAGCAATACATTCCCCCCAGCATTTCGCATCCTAGTCCCCGATGTACTGCTACCATACGGCGCACTCTCAAAAAAGTTGGAATACCCTAAAGGCTCTCCTACTAGCGTCCCATCTTCCTCGTCGGAGTAAGTCGAAACGAGTTCCGTATGAGGCCCAACTATATCACTCATCTCATCCGTATCATCGTCGTCTACCTCAAGCGGAAGTCGACCTTTTCGTTGTACAGCTTCGGTGGACAGTTCGTCACCTTCGTCGGAGGAGTTGGACGAATACATATTGACGTGAGGGAAACTAGACAGGGAAGACGGAGGGGAAGACGGCCTTCCGTATGCCGAAAAAGGGGAAGTAAATGCACCGTATGACGATGTATTTCCCACTGAGGACGAGCCAAAACCGTCGGTCCCCTGTGCCGATGATCCGAAGGGGTCCATGATAGAGCTAAGGCCAAAACTGTAGTTCATTGATTGGGTACTGTCGCCAGAAGCGGTATTTTCAGAGTCCTTAGAAATGTCGTCCGAGGGAGGTGAGGAAACGGCGGCTTCAGCCCGTTCTTTCTGAGCTGCTAGGCGTGCGGCTAGCTGACGACGAGCTCGAGATGGGGGAATGTTCAACGGCGCAGGTGGTGATAGCATGGGAATCGGTTGGCTTGTCGCGTGAGACCTTTCCTATAAGATTACATAACATTTGTTAGCAACAATGCACAACAGAAATGAGTTGTAGCTCAATGTTCCTTTGCGTCAGGAAATACAGCGCCAAAGTATAAAAGGGCAGTCAAATGGGTTAATCATCAGTGTACCATCCTTAATCAACTTTAGGAAATGAATACCAACGATGATTAGTGTCTCTGTTGTAAGTAGTTGGGAAGTAGGGTAAGAAAAGATCAGTGTGACCAACAACAACCGATGTAGCTAGAAGAAGTGTCTGATCCAATGGGTCAAAGATAATAGTGATATGAAGGTCTAGGGGCGGTGAACAAGTAGCCCGGGTGTTTATACATGTTTGAGATAGCGCCGTGTGCAAAAATATGATGTCTTAGGAAATAAAACAAAATCGCTCGATGTAAACGGCCGTGAACGACCTCATGCCAAGGTGCCAGACTAGGTGCCATACAGGATGTAAAGATACATGTACAATTGTCGCCCATACGTCACAAACACGAGGCTCCAAAAGAAAGAATTAGGCAGCATGAATCAGGGATTTTTGGTGAAAAGGCCGCTATCATCGGTCCGTCATGTCAATGTCCTGAAAGAAATGTTGACCCACATTATCAAAGCTGTTCTCCGCGCCAGTTGAGTGAGTTCTTCTCGCACCACCTTCGTCATCTTCTGGATCCTCCATTTCTTCATCTTCGTCATCGCTCGAGCTTCCAAATCCACTGAGCAAGGATGGCCCGCTAGCCCCGCCGAAAAACGCACCGCCCGAGGCGCTGCCTTGATGTACAATATCCAACCCTTCGAATGTTGCACCCAGGGCTCCTCCGTTCAAACCGGCATTTGCTAACGCTGTTGAAGCTGTAAATCCCTGTGAGGCGTTGACTGCATTAAGAACTGCCTGCCGATGGCCCATAGACATATCGGGCCTAACACCACCCAAAATGGCATTATCCCTTTCTCTGGTTTCAGACAGAGTTCGTTCGACATAATCGATCCAATCGGGGTGAAGGACATATTCCATTACTGTCGCCGACAACAGTTCGGGGGGATGCCGTTCGCTGAACTTTACCACCTCTTCTGCAATCAGGGTGAGATGGCCCATGTAGCCCAATCTCATATTTTTTGTCCGCTGTGCTTCATCACTTCGTTGTTGGCCTCGAACAATCTCCTCTGTAATATGGCCCGATTCGAATACGTCAATTGCTAAGGATCGATTGAAACCACGATCCATCGGGCCGTTGAATACTTGCTGAACAACGTCATATACCACATTGTGGAGAAAGTTGTTCCATGCAAATCGGAAAAAGAATGACTATTTCAGTGGGTCAGCTATTGAATTATAATATATCGAATTCAAATCAAATTGTACGTACCAGGATCGTGGGTATGACTTTGTGCTCAACAAACATGATTTTTAGATAATCTCCAACCACTGGCTGGCCGTCGGTATCTATTTGAATATTTTGATGTGCAACGTTCTCTCCAGCATCACCCATTGTTATCGACGGTGTTAGTGACCCGGTTATGCAACTGTTCCCGAGAGCAGTCCCGGTTTCCACTCTTCCTTTATTGTCTTCTTCGCCAATTTGATGATTTTCCAGTTTCGTTGGAGAGTCCTTCGCGGCGAATAGAGGTGCCGGTTTATCATCTGGTTGCGGGGATAACGATGAATCCGGTTCACCACTTCCTTGATTACCAGTTTGATTTTCCGAACGTTGACTTTCAGGTACGTCAATGGTGGGGTTTTCATTGAGAGGGGAGTCATGCCTTTCATGCGGGCCATGCTGTTGTTCGGCATCAATCTTAAAGTTTTCGACTTTCTGCGTGAGGATTGATGCGGCAGGTGATAAAGGATCGCTAGCTAGAGATGGAGAAAGAGGTTGGATGACTTTCGCATCCAAGGATGTCCCTTGCTCCGGTGGTGTTAGTGGTTCATCTACAAAATCATCACTCAGTCCTAATTTAGGCGCATGTGGCGGAATACTCGTAAACTGTTCCGGACCAGGTTTATTGTTGATTTCCCCTTCAGGCTTCTCCTCGAAACCGTCCTTAACATCGTCTATCAGTACTCCAGATGAAGTAACATGTTCGAAACCATCCTCTTCACCTGCATGTGATGCGTCAAGCCGTTTGATATCCTCAGGCGAGCCAGAACCAAGTGCTGATGGGGAGATGCCATTTGCGAACTCGTTCGTGGTCTCGGCATATTCGAAACCCGAGTCATCTTCACCAGTGATAAAAGCACCTTGTGCTCGCAGTCGTTCACGCTCCGCATCACGTTTTCTGACATATTCATCGCTTCCAACCTCATTCAATAAACCCATATTACTGCAATGAAGAAGTTCAGCCATCAATTCGCATGTCTTAAACCTGTCAAATCCCAGAGGTTCAATCCGAGTTCCCCAAGCGCTGTCGAGACGGGGTCTTTCAACAACTTTGTGTTGGCCAGCTTCATTCACCATATGTTTTGAACTGAGTATTAGATCCATAAAACCAGGCACATTTTTTGCAAACATGCGTAAGAGAGTCCCAAGGTAAATGGGATCATGAATCGTTGGGGGTGAGTCCGGGCCGCCAACATTTTCTGGGTCATAATCCGAGTTGTTCTTGCGGATCACTTCGATAACAATCCCAACTCCGACGGTAAGTGGGTTTCCACCTTTCAGCATTGACGATATTAAAACTTCCACACAAGGCTGGGAAACTAGTTGGCGCGTCAAGCTGTTGGGTCCGATACAAGACTGGTCATTTTGCGCAGCGTTAGCAGAAATCGTGATAATTGCTTTCAAAAAATCACCTGCTGATGTCTGGGTCGAAGAGGTATGCTCTGTCGAAAGGCAAGATAATAGGGATGGAATCAGGTCCTGTGATTGGAGCCACTGAATTTGAAACTGTTAGCTACGTTATAGTCTAGAAATGCAAGTTATGGTGCTCACCTCAACAACTCCTTGGCCACCCTCTATCCTTTCAAGCGATATAATCTTCAAAAGCAAGTCCATGATCATAGGGTTATCCACATGTCGAAGGAGCGTGGGCACCACGCCATCTAACGACTTGATGAAAGCGAGCATTTCCTCGGTCTTCTTTTCAAGAAGGACTTCGTTCACCTTCGTAAAATATCCGGATTGAAGTGGATCAAGCGGCACTTCCCTCCACAAGAAGTGCCAAAAGTCCCGTAGATATCCTTCATTGAGCATCATCGACTCAATGATTGACCAGGAATTAGAAGACAAGATTTCGCAAGCAATATAGGAATACTTCAAGCGTGACTTCTCTGCATTCTCCAGTTCATCGGTATCAAGACCGTAACTTAAACCAGCGGGTTTATCGTCGGCGAACCGCTGTCCTTTTTCCTTAGCCTGGTCGGACAAATCCGCAGTTGCCGCGAATTCGTGGTTTTCCTTTGCTTCTCCATCCCTACCCTTGTCCTTTTGTCCTCGCGCATCGTCATCGTGGTCGTCATCATCGTCATCTATCAGACTGGGTGAAATTACATAGTCAAGCAATCGTTTCAAGACATTATCGTCACGCAGATATTCTATAAGTTTCGTATTATGCTGCTTGAGCTCCTGCATAAGCTCCGACTCATCGAGAACTTCCTCGAGGGAGACATCTGCTTTCTCGAGGAGGGTATCGATAGCGGATATATTTGCATATCCACCAAAACGCCAGAACATGATGAGTTATAATTATATCGGAGAGAGAAACGGTAAAGATGATTCATTGACGTCAGGGAAAATGTGAAGTGATGAGTCTGCGATTTCTCTAACTTTTCGTATCTCTTTTTTTTCTTTCAGCTTCCAAGTATGCTTCTGTATCCGAGAGTCTATGCGCAAATTTTGCTATCCACAAATAATGATAATTCGAAAAGTATCAAGCACTGAATGCGACGTGTACAGAGGAGAGATCGGTATTATGGTGGTGGTAAGATCGCGGGCAATTTCGAGGTCGTAATCGGTGCTGAATAGGAGTAGAGAATAGAATATGGACGAAGCTACCATGCGCTATGTGGAAATGGGATGTCAGTATGCGAGTGCGCGGACGGGGAAAGGGTAGGTGGTTGAAGATGTAGGGTAGGATCATTTAGGATGCTGACGGGAGAAAATGGGGGGGTGGTGGGTTAGGCCGCATATGACGGGAGAAGGGTAATTTGCAGCGTACCTTCGACATGAGAGAATGACGATGAAGATGAACAAATAATTCAAAGCAGCCTTTCCTGGGAGCTCGAGGCCAGTAACAGTCGAGAACGGGAGGTTGGTGTCGTATGGGCGGATGTTGGGGTTGAGGTCGGCAAGTTGAAGTTGAGATGTGCTGGCGTTGGCGTGGGTGCGGCTCTTGTCCAAGGTTTCCGAAGAACCAGGCAAATATGTACTGTGCTCAACTATTGCAGCAACAACAACCACAGGAATACTACCAATTATGCCACTGGCCACAGCGGGAGTAGACCGGTCTGTTTGGGGGGTACATAGCAGGCTGTTCTTAAATAAGTCGACGTGAAAATTAAAGGATAACGTAGTTTTTTTCTCTACTGTCAACTTGGTCTTGTTCGGCTACATCATGCTGTCAGCCTGTTGCTGCCATGGACGCCACTATCTGCAGAGTAGACTAATTTCAGGAGCACAATCATCAGGAGGCTTCACATGGATCCTTCTTCTTTCTGCGTGAATCAAAGCCTAGAATGAAGGCCACCCTCTACATAGTAAATCAAACTGTTCGTTCAGACTTTCGATCACTGAGACTCCCGCTCTCTGTGATACATATTTGCTTCTTGATCAAAATTAGGGGCCAAGTGGGCGTTTTGAGATACGTGCTCATACCTACAAAGCCATGTCACACCCATGGTCAATGAAAAACAACAAATGAAAAACAACTTAATCCTCGACTTTCTTTGGCTGATTGATAGTTGAGATGTCCAGGCCGGTGTGGGTGAGTTGATCGTTTGATGGCTTGGCAGGCGGCATGTGACCTAACCCTCTGACATCAGAACTTGGACCGTTATTTTAGTGCGCTTTTCATCTTCCAACAGGCATCATTGATCGTGTCGAATATTGACGCTTGACTCCAGAGCAACTTGAACGGTTAACAAATCACGGCTTCAGGGATTTTGCAGTAGACTTCGTATTCGCTGATATCCCTCCAAGGCTATTTATAACTCACCTGTTGAATTTGTGCGGTAACCCATCGCCTGCCCCGCTGTCTTCACGGCATTCCCCAGGCGCAAATAGCACAAGTGCAAAACAGTTATGAACCGGTTATTTGGTACCAAGAGCTCTGCTCCGAAACCGACGCTCGATTCCGCAATCACAAATGTACGTTTGCTCATTCCCCGTTACCTAACAGTTCATAGCATTCCAAAGCGAACCTCCGCCCGAATTGTAACACATGTTAAACTAACTAACAGGTCGACAACCGCGTCGCAAGCATAGACGTAAAACTCGCCGCTCTAAATGCGGAATTATCGTCCTACCAATCTCGAATGGCTAAAATGCGCGACGGACCCGGGAAAAATGCCATACGTCAAAAAGCCCTCAAGGTGCTACAACGCCGCAAGCAATACGAAGCTCAGCGAGATCAACTGTCGCAACAGTCATGGAACATGGAACAAGCAGGCATGATGCAGGATAATCTGAAAAATGTCATGACGACCGTGGATGCGATGAAGACCACGACAAAGACGCTCAAACAGCAGTATGGAAAGGTGGATATCGACCAGATCGAGCGCATGCAGGATGAGATGCAGGATTTGATGGAAATTGGGAATGAGATTCAAGAGAGCATCAGCCGTGCGTATGACGTGCCGGAGGATGTGGATGAGGCTGAACTTGATGCGGAGTTGGAAGCGCTTGGGGAGGAGTCGATGTTCGAAAACGCTTTATCTGAGGATGCGACACCCGCGTTTCTTCAAGACGAGGTTGCGCCACCACAGTTTGTGGATGAACCTCCTGAGGAGGGGAAGGTTAAGGAGGCTGCTGGGTGAGATGGCCGTGTCAGGCTTGCTCTCTTTTTGTCGAACGAAACTTCCGTGCGTTCTCTTCGTGCGTGGCCTCGCTTTAAATTGTATCTTGTGTTATTCCGAGCCATGTTTTGAACACATTTCTTAACATGAGGGCATTTCGCTACTTTGGTGCTCAGATTGGCTGTGTCTTTGGTGTTTTTCAAATCATACAGGATGCGATTTAAACACGAGATTCAATTCTGAATCAGGAACCCGCACAACCCCTTTGCGCAACGCTGTGTAATTCGTTGGAATGCATTACTACTTGTTTATTAAGTGGAACATAACATATAGATATACCACTTCTCCCTACGTCATTCCGGCGAGTTTGGTTATGTATAGCTACTGTCTCATTCCACCCCTCATCATCAGAACTCCGGCTGGGTGGCTCAAATATCGAGTTTCTAGTTTAGTATGCAAGGTAGCCAAACCGCCAAAATGATATTAGTGTTGTTTATATGTTCTCTTATCTATGTCTCTCTTTTGTCTTGTTCTCTTTCTTACTTTTTCTTATTTTTATTTAATGATACAAATGCAAGGTGCACACGGAAACATGATGAGCTGAGCAACAAGTTCCTCAAATCCTCGTCCCAAATTATACCCAAAGGTCAGTGCCAACGAAGTTGGGTTTCGGGCGTTCGAGAAAACTCGAATTAACTGGCTGGATATTTTCGAAAGGCGACTGCAAAAAACCCCAGTCCAGGATATCATGTTACGCTGACATACCGGAGTAAAGCCACGTGGAACTACATGTGCTAATATACTAGTAGTATAATCACGGTGGGATAAAATAATTTCTATGGAAAGTTGGTGCGTAGAGGGGAATACGGGCTGCTACAAGTTCGAAATTGGCCTGTTGTATCGCTGTATGTATGAGGCCAACATCTCGAGGTCGTTCTTAGCGACAAACATTGTCGTTCTATTGGCTATCTTAGCGCTTAGCACGCTGAAGATCAACGATTTTGACTGGGATGAGCGATTGAAGAAAAAACCGCACAAAGAAAGTAACACCAAATAATAAACCCATTGGGGCCAGGTCAAGACAGTGATTGACCACTGGTAGATGAACCATCCCGCCTGCGCTAATTAACCTGATATCGGATTTCTGTCTTATCCATCGATGCGTTCAAGATGGATGCGCCAAGGCCACCCCGCTTAGCTAAGTTATTTGTTATCGGGGTTGACTAACTAGTTAATCTACGTTGCTGCAGCAACGTCAATACCTGTTTCTCCATCTTCATAATTCTTGGAACAGCGGTCACTGATTCATTTATTATTGTCCCCATGGCCCTTAATACTATTCATTGGCAGTTCTCTTGACTATTTTTGTTTGTTGTCTTGCCTTCCTTGAGGATATCCTCAAGGAGATGAAGCATTCAACCGAACCTAGACACTGGCATGTTTACTTGAATCACATATCCCTCGATTCACTATTCGCATAGACATTTCGAATACGGATATTCGATTTATTTTTTCTTTGTTACCACTTCGCTAATTGTGTTTAGCCAGATATTTTTTGAAGCGGAGTGAGTGGAAACAAACCTAAGCATTTTTTGTTTACCTTTGCACAGCAAGTACTAATCTCTATGCACATGTTCAGGACCCTGTGAGCGACATGATGTCTCCCGCCATGCAAAACTCAGGCATATTTGTTGATGAGCAGTCGGGCCATTCAAAAACTTCGGGTCTGAGGTCTATTTTCCCGTCAAAGGCCCACAAGAGAAACCACTCAGCTGGTAGTGCCCTAATAGGGAATGCCCTGCCAAACGATCATACGTCCATGCCCCCTCCTATGTTGCCTCTCGACCATCCACATTCCTACACGCAGTGGCCATTGTCTGAGGTATCCCATAATGGCCACCAGCCAAGTAATGCCCGCCTCCGCAATAAGAGTTCTGAGGCGAATTCGGATTATAGCTTGCATAAGAAAACGAAAAGCTCCGTATCATTAAGGTCCCTTATGAAGGATTTTACAACACCCAACAAAACACCTTCCCCAGAGATCACCGTGCGGGAAAAGAAGGCGAAAAAGACAAAGTCGTCCACCAGTTTGTCAGCAATTTTCAGAAGGTCCCAACGAGGCCGGAGGGACAATACTTCCAACAAACAGCAGAAAGATAAGGAAAACATGAATCCACCTCATTCTCCTACGGTTGAAATTTCGCCGCTGTATTCTCATTTCGGCAGCACGTCCCAACAGCAGGGTCAGGGAGGAAACCGCTATCTACCAGAAAGAGGGCGAACCTTGGACGAAGAAATGTCGCTCTATACTCCTAGGGGCTACTCGCCATCAAAGCAGAGGAATTTCCATGGCCACCAACTACCATTTCTAACGAAGCGTTCCGATACAAAACCGAGGCCTAAGTCGGAATTTGTATTGCCCACCTCTTCATCCATGAAAGATATGCTAGCTTCCGTACAGCGTTCGGGTGCTTCCAACGAACAGCAGTGGCAGAAAGCAGGTGATAGCCGGGCTAACCACGTTCGCCGCGGATCTCCAACAGAGCATGAACTGAAGAAGCGACATGAGCCGGCCGGAAAGCGGGGGTCCAGAGTTTTGGCAGCCATTACAGCATTAAACGCGAAGGAGAAGGCAATGGAGCCACCACAAAAGCCCTTAGATAGTGATGGAATCGAAGGAGCATTCGAAGCGCTTTTGGTAAGATAAACCTTCTAAACATAAGACTAATTATCTTCTAACCGATTCACTTGCGGAAAGGATTCTCGGAACATTCCTCATAATATGCGTGATAAGATGCGATCTTTGGATACAAGTATCAAAGCTGATTTCATACGGAAGCACCATCTTGATGTTAATCTATCTACTACATCAAACTCTAGTCAGGACCAAAACACCTCGAGTGGCTCTGCTAATGGTGGAAAGGATTCCAGCGGAAAGGGATCAAGATCCCAATCTCGGACCCGTCCATTTTCAATCTCAAGAGCGGACATATTGTCGCCCAAAAGAAGCAATGAGAATATGACTACTCACAAGCGTCCAAAATCGGTTGATTTATCTCGACCCGGATCTTCTAAAGGATTACCTAGTTCCAACTCAATGACGGGGATAGCATCTCAGGCCCAACCAGACCATACAGCAGATCCCACTGACTTTGTTCACTACCTGCGAGAGGTTCAGAAGCCAGAGATAGTTGAAGTTGGCAAGCTACACAAACTCAGAATACTTTTGAGAAACGAGACAGTGACATGGGTTGACGCATTTATTTCCCATGGAGGAATGAACGAAATCATTGAACTTTTGTACCGTATCCTCAAGGTGGAGTGGCGGTGTGTATTGTCCTATCCGTTGACAGTATTATGAGATCAAAATACTTACTATTCTTTGATAGGGAGGAACACGAAGATGCCTTGTTGCACGAAACTCTTCTTTGTCTGAAGGCACTTTGCACGACATCACTGGCTCTTCGTCATCTTTCATCCGTCGAATCAGTGCTATTTCCAACTCTTTTGCATATGCTCTTCGACGAGGAGAAGAAAGGCCCGAGCGAATTCACAACTCGGGGTATTGTCCTTAGTCTGCTTTTTACTCACCTATCGTCCGCATCTGCCGAAAATCTGGTGCCTCGGGCTAAAACAATTATGGCATATATGCGCGACCCTGCTCCACCAGAAGAATCCCAGCCATTGAACTTCATTGCAAGCATTTATCAACCTCGTCCATATCGTGTGTGGTGCAAGGAAATCAGCAATGTGACTAAGGAGGTATTTTGGATATTTCTTCATCAGCTCAATGTCGTTCCCGTCACGAAAGCTACAGAGATTAATTCAGAACCCTACTCGAAACGCTATTTCCCTCCTCCCCGCCCACCAGTTCCAGCTGCCCCTTATGTTGGTGGTGTTGAATGGGATGCCACTAACTATATCGCAAATCATCTCGATCTTTTGAATGGTTTGCTTGCTGCGCTGCCCACTGCAAGTGAGCGCAATACGTTACGAACTGAACTTCGGGCATCTGGTTTTGAGAAAGTGATGGGCACCAGTCTACGCACTTGCAAAGAGAAATTCTACTCCTCAGTGCACGATTCTTTGAAGCTTTGGGTTGCTGCGGCAGCGGAAGATGGGTGGGATTACAAATTTGTTCGCGAAGGCCCAGCCCGAGGTGGTCCGGATTCTACCTCAAGAAGCCCCATCAAGTCTACCCCGGGCTCTCCGAAAAAGCGGGTTGGGCTAGTGAGCGACGAGCCGCCCAAGTTAGATCTCACTGGGGAAATTGGCCATGAAGCAAGCGAAACTAGTAGCGGTTGGCTTTGATTTTTATCTCACGAAAACCAAGTCCCATTCTTCGTGTTGCGATATCTTCAAAGTTCGCATTCTGCACTGAATTTATCGCACTTTTCCTTTGTAGATGTCTTTTTTTTGTTTTCACTTCCTCATTGCCTATGGTGTTTTGGTTTTCGATGGTGACTTTTATGACATTTTGAATTTGTTTTCTAATGATTGGCAGAGCTCCCTTTTTTTCTCTATCGAAGGTTACTCTCGCCTGTGGAAAGGTTGTTCATGTACTGTACAAACCAGCCGCACAAATTACATGCCTTCTACTCATCAGTGGCATTAATGAAATGATGAATAAATGGGTATTTAATGAGATTCCACTTCTAACATGATCACTGTTGGTATTACTTTTTTTCTTTTTTTTTTTCTTTTTCTTTTTCATTTCTTTTTTTGATATTCCACACCTGGTAGATTGGCTCGGAGAAAACATACCTCGGAAATATTTCGATGTTATCACGTCCCTAACCTTATAAGGGGATCGGACATTGCTAGACCTCCGTTTTTAGTGTACTTTTGCATCTGTCAAACATCTATCGTATTTTCGCCGCCAATTTCTTCTTCATGTTCTTATCTAGAGTCCAGCTGAGTGAGTCGCTTGTTCTTGACAAGCAGGACAGCTGAGGACCGCTCTCGAAACAGCTCCCGCACTACCCATACTAGTCAATCTCCAGAAAACATCCCGCGGCATTCAGGGGGATGTGAGGACAAAAACATTCTGAATCCGGTCACAACAAATACTCACACCTGTCGGCGCACTGTTGAAGGTTCAAGTTGGCATTCGACCTGCAGGCAGTATTCACACGATGTAGTGTAAAGACGGTACGTACACTCCACGCCCTGTAGCACTTCAACATCCTCTGACACGTCTTGCTGAGGCCACTGTGGCAATTCAGCTGAATTTGGAGAAAAAAGTCGGAGTTGGAGAGGAGGGAGTGCAAGGGGATGTTGAGTTCACACATTGATAAGATGTTCCCATTCAGGTGAACAACAAGTCGTTTCCTTCCAGACCTGCAAAGCGCCCACCACGCATGAATGTCGCTACATTTGGGGCCGGCGGCCGATGAATCTTTGATCCTGCACCATCCCTCACAGCGGGGAACACCAAGTTCCCCAACCTCTTACTGGGTGGAGACACAAGTCCCTGGGTCGCCTGTTAGTCGCAAGCCGCAGTCTCC